ATACTGTACTTCACTCACTCAACCCAGAGTGGAGCTTTTTCTTTTAGTTACTGTTTTATTCGCCTCCACTTATGTCCACAGAGAACTTGAGCAGGACTGTTCCATGAGCTTCAAGAGGAGATTTAAAATTGTGTCAAGCTCATATCTTCAACTTCAAGATATTCAAGAACACTACATAAATTTTACTCCTGACTTACTTGAGAAAGGGAGAAGTTTTATAATACCGCATTATTATTAAATTTGTCTTTACCTCCTTACAGGAAAAATGGAGTAGTCTTCAACTCCTCTGGGACTGTCCATTAACCCTTTTTTGCCAAAGAAAACCCAAATTCAGAAATCCCTCTGAATATATTTTTTTCAAAATTCCAATTATTAATATCTTCATTTAAAGTCGTAAGAGAAAAATAGAGACGAGCCCCTATAGCAACAATCCTGAAACATATAGGTATATTAAGCTCATAAAGACCTCCCCATAAAAAGTTTTCTTGATTCTCCCAGGTTGCCAAGAAATGAATTATATCTATTCTTTGTATTCAGTTCAACAAAACAAATATTGAAACAATGTTGTGTTAAAAAGAAACCTGCAAGTGTAGGGAAGTTCATGATAAGATACTAAATGTCCAAAATATAGACAAAAAAACATAACATAAATAGGCAGATTTGTAGTCCCCAAATATTGGACCAAGTAACTGAGCATGCTGCCATCTGCTACACTCTCCCTGCTAGGGTAGAGGGCAAGAAACCAGGAAACTAGGTTGGATCAGCATTTCCATCTGGTCCCCATCCAGACCCCAACATGGAGCCAGAAGCAATCTGAGCCAGGTGTTAGAAGAAGGAAGACCAGGAGATCTGGTTCCTTCACTTTCCAGACCCAAATATGGGTTTGAGGAGCAACAGGAACCTAGAGAGCTCCTTCCCTCCCTCCCCAGACACCTTCATAAGACCAGACACAGCTACATAGGATGAAAGCAGAGGGGCCAACTTTCTAATTTCCCCGGGGATGCTCGACCTCTGCTCCACACTAGGCCCTGCCCCCACTCCATCCCTTCTCCCAAGACTCCACCCCCACCTTGCCTCTTCCCACCTCCACCCCACCCCTGCCCCACTCCTCCCTCTCCCCCCCAGCACGCCACTGAACAGCTGATCATGGCAGGCGAGAGGCGCTGGGAGGGGAGAGGAGCTGATTGGCAGGACCACTATTTTTTTCCTGTGGATGCTCCAGCCCTGGAGTAATCACAGAGTCAGCGCCTATGGATGAAAGTTCCTTAATCACAGAGATTCCTCTGCAGTTCTCAACAAGCAGCTTAGAAGTTAGCAGGTCTTATTTCAGTACTGCCGCTGTTAGGCAGACATGCACCCAGAGGGAGATGGCCACAAGTATGTTTGATATTGCTGCTCATGGGCCACCTATCTGCCCTTGCTGACCCTTATAACATCAGCAGGGAAAGAGAAACAAACTCTATGTGAATCGTAAAAAACAAACAACAACAACAACAAAAATCTACTGAGGACATGCTGTTTAAAAGAATACCCTAAAAAACTTGCATTTAAAAAAAAATCTATTTAGAAAATTCAGGTTGACAGTATCCTTTAACCTTTAATCAAAAGGTAGAAAATGCCCTATGACACCTAAATAAAATGTTTACTATTCCCGCATAATAGGTAATTCCCATTAATACTTAAAGGGAAGCTCTCAGGTTAAAATATATTTTTAAAAAGCTTTACTGTTAAAAACACTTAAATTTTAAGTAGTATTTTTAGTATCACTGACACTGTTTGTTCTTCTATTTTCCATTGATTAATCTATTTTAATTGTCCAACCTCAGCAAGTTTCACTTTGTTCTAGTGTATGAGAAACATGTTTCCATATTTGGATGGAAGGCACTGAAGAAGAATGTTCAAATCCAGATAAAACTGCTTTCCTTGATTCTCCTGCCACCCACACACACTTCATGAAAATATTTGTTAATAGTAGGCATCGTGATGCCTTTTCCCCTAAACTTCCTGACACTGGCTGTATAAACAAGTTGCACACACATATTAAGGAAACAAAGGGCCCTTATGATATTCCTCAACTTTGGAGATAGAGGAAAGCCTAAGGGGTTTAATTCTGCACTTGATTTATTTTCACCTCAGGGAAACCCTTGCATTTATACAGATTCTACCTTAAAACCTGCCTCCATGTTTTTCATCTAGCATAACACAAAAACCAGCAACAAGTTTAAACATCTCAACTGACCCATAGTACATTTTTATTATATCTGAGCTCCATGTGTTATTAGATTGTTTGATCATCAATCCTGCTTTTAAAGCATTTGGAATATACTTTACAAAAAGGATAAGGATGTCCACATGGTGGCGTAGTAGCCATGAAAAGTAAGAACTAATGATGACTCTAGAAAGAGAGTGTAGCTAACCAAATTACCTATGGAAGTGAAAAACAGATTGGTCAGGGTTTGTTTTTTGAGTTTTCACTAACAATACTGTTTGGCTTTCTAGCACTGTTTTTATTAACTTTAATTAACGTGTTCATTATGTTATACACAACTTTACAGACAAAAAAATTAGATTTTGGACCTAAACTACTTGTTAGTATTACTTTAAAACACCTATCATGTCAAGGGTGCAAAGTTGTAGATGATATTAACTGTTAATTTTCATACAAATTACTAAAAAAAATAACAATGGATATGTGCTTGAAAAGTTCATAAAAGCAGCCAGTAATTAAGTTTCCATTCAAGTAACATTGACTCATTTCCCAGAGAACCCAAAGTTAAGGACAATCTGCCCTTAGCAGAGCATACCCACATCACTGAAAGTTACGTCAGAATATATAAACATCACACTATTCTATTATACCGAGACACCATATTAGGCAAATTAAGAATAACCCCTACATTTTCCAGCAAATGCACTATATTACAGTTAATTTATGTGTTGTATTGGGATACATCTGTGAAAGCTGGGTTGCATACATCTTATACATTAGGCTAGGGTAGGGGTGGGCAAACTACGGCCCATGGGGTAGATCCAGCCCGTCAGGGCTTTGGATCCGGCCTGCGGGATTGCCACCCCCGTGGTGCCGCGGGGCTAAGGCAGGCTCCCTGGCCCCACGCCGCTCCCGGAAGTGGCCACCACCATGCCCCTGCGGCCCCGGGGAGGGTGAGGGGCAGAGGGCTCTGCGTGCAGCCCTCGCCTGTGGGTACCTCCCCCGCAGCTCCCATTGGCCGGGAACAGGGAAGCCACGGCCAATGGGAACTTCGGGGGAGGTACCCACAGGCGAGGGCTGCGCGCAGAGCCCTCTGCCCCTCCACACACACACACTCCCCCAGGGGCCGCAGGGGTGTGGTGGTGGCCGCTTCTGGGAGCAGCGCGGGGCCAGGGCAGGCAGGGAGCCTGCCTTAGCCCCACTGTACACCACTGCCACCCCAAAGCCGCTCAAAGTAAGCAGCGCCAGGCCAGAGCCCGCACCCCAACCTCCTGCCACACCCCTCCTGCACCCCAACCCCCTGCTCTGAGCTCCCTCCCGCACTCCCTCCTGTACCCCAACCCCTTGTCCTGAGCCCCTTCCTGCACACCGCACCCGCTCCCACACTCCCTCCCGCACCCCAACCCCCCTGCCCCAACCCTACATTCATGGCCCTGCATGCAATTTCCCCACCCAGATGTGGCCCTCGGGCCAAAAAGTTTGCCCACCCTGGACTAGGACATACTAAGGACGTACTGTTTCTACTGAACACCATAAGTTTTAAACAAACCGGCAAATGTTCGCTGCTTTATTTACTACTATAGTAGATTATCAAATCAAACTGCAAGGGTGTATTTTCATCAATTCTGCTGACAGGTGTTTTACCAGGCCATTCTCTACTTGTCAAGATGCATTCATTAGATCAGAACCACAGAAAGATGACAGTTCATGTAATGGAATTTTTTTTCCTTGAATGCTTTCAACATTTTATTGCCACATACAATGAATCATGCTTTGGAAATCAATGTTGTATAACACAAGTTTATTGCAGCTAGCTCGCTCTCTTTGTAGTCACTCTTATGCACATTCTTTTGTAAGACTATTTTTTCCTCTAATTGTCAAGTAATCCTTGGAGACAGAAAATGGTTTGTTAAATTTGTTGGCACCCACACTGGTGACATACCATGCCCCAATAGGAATGCAAACCACTCTAGAATGAAAAGACCCCAGGGATGGGCTCGGCACAGGAACATAAACAGAAGAAAAGGTACACAGAGGAGGGGGCTGGCCAGTTTGGGTAGACTGCTCCCATATTTTAAGGCTTAAGCTGTACGATAAACCCGGGTAGACAATAGGTGGACAGTGGGCCAAAGCCGAACCGCCGGATGCTTTTGAACAGACCACGTCTTTTTTATTTACTTATTATCATTATTGGTATTGCTGTGTGAAAAAGGTTTCTCTTGGAGTCTGGACCTTGCCTATATCTTGACCAAGAAATTTGGACAGTGACAAAAAATAGTTGATGATCCCTGATCTATACAGTGCTTCACCTCACTGCCATGTCACCCGCTCCAGCATGCGGCAGATAAACCTGCAGCCTGCCTGTACCCATAGCTAAAGAAGAAAGAAGGGTTTGTTTGTTTTGCGGCAGGGGTCCCCTTTTCTCCTGTGGGAGGGGCCTGCAGAGATTCATTCTCCCCTCTTCGGGGGATCAACCCGCTTTACTTGCATGTGCCTGGGCACATGGGGGTGTCTCTCCCCATCAGATGGGGGAGTGAGCCCCTTCTCCTCCCCATGAGAGAATGGAAGGGGTTAGTCCCCCCCCCCAACCCCCCATGCTCTGATCGGTGCGCATGCAGGGGAAGGGGCCACCCACGTCTCCCGTGTCTATGAAAGTAGAACGGGAGAAGGGGGAACCCCTGGGGGGGGGGGGGAGAAGAGGAGCCAGCGCCCCTGAGTCAGAGGGGAAGGGGAGTTAACAGGCGGGAGTCAGGGCGGCTGGCCCCGCCCCTCTCAGCCTCGTTTCACTTACTCCAATCCCGGGGAGAAGAAAACTCCGTCAGGAGAAAAAGCCGGGCCCCAGCGACAGCCACTTTTCACCTCACGACTGACAACAAGTACAACCCAGCTAGGGGCGGGGGAAAGCGGTCATGACCCGGAAATAGATAGGACTTCGGAAGTGAAGGCCCTGCGAAGTAGCGGTCACTGGGGGCGGAGCCTACGGCAGGACGTAGCTCTCACAAAGCGCATGCCCCAGGGGGGAACCACGTAACAGCGCTTGTGATTGGACCATTCAAATGTAGGAAGCTGGATGATTGGGTGCTTCGAAGGTGTGGGCGTGGCTGGCGGGAAAGAGCGGGCAGTTTGGTGAGCTCGAAAAGCGCGGCTCTGTCGATATGTCCGCGAGCGGCCGTCGCCGTCGCGGTGCCCTTGACAGGTAAGCGGGGTGGTGCCCGGGCCCTGAGGAGATGGTCTTGGGGCGTCAGGGGGGGTTCCCCTTTCCGTGCCTTGCCTGGGACTGACCCCCATTTCCCGCGGGAGGGGCTTCCCCGTAGCCCTGGGCTGCAGCACCTCCCCACCCGCGTAGCTTGAAGGGGCCCCAGCGGGTATTCACGGGGCCTTCCCACTACGGCTCTGCCGTGGGAGTCACGTTCCCCCGTGTGGAGAGAGCGTCTTCGGGGGCCCGGCTCCCCCAAACCTCGGGCGTCTCCCTCCCTCCCTCGGCTGACAGACACCCCGCAGCCTGTCCGTGACACACACACAGGGGACGGATCTTAGGCTGTGGACGGCGAGGAGAGCCCTGCGCTATGTCCCGCCTGGAGCGGCCCTGCTCTGGTTGCAGCGCTGGCCTGTCTCGTAAAGCGGAGCAGCGGCTTGGAGGAATTTGCTGCGGGAACTCGGAGGTGTCCTTTGGCCAGGCTCAGAGCAGCATGGGCGGTGACTCCCCGAGGCTAGAACAGGGGCATTTTCTGTCTGTCAGGGTAGCGTTATGGTGCAGCTGATGTGCAGTGCTTCTATAGCGTGATGCCAACTTTTCCCAACCGAGCGCTAAAAATTTCCCAAATCTGGTGAAAAATGCCCAGATAAAGTTTTCTATAGTGCTTCTGTATCCTGGGACATTTCCCAAAACCTGAGAATGTGTGAGTAAAATGTTTCAACTTGGGAAACTGGGAATTTTCATTCAAAACATTTTACTCAAAAATTCCCAGATTTTGGGAAATGTCCCAGGATATAGAAGCATTGCTGATGTGATACTCCCTCAAAGGAGCAGATGTCCTAAGCCTCGGGAATACGCTGATTCTTTGCAGTGTGTACATTAGAACTGCCAATCAGACCAAACAGTGGCCAGTACCAGAGCTTCAGCGGGAGTATACAGCACAGACCAGTCGGAGTGATGCACACCCCACCTTCCCTCGCCATTGGCTTATAACTCTTTAATATTGCTTTTTAAAGTGGCTTCACAATGGATGAGACAGTTGCTGAGTATATCAGAAGGACTGTGCTGAAAATCCCACGCTGTCAAATCATGGAAATGCTAACGATGTGGGAATTTCTCTCCAAGACGCAGCTGCAAACCATTAACGTGCATCAGCTAAAGGAAAGAATTTCCCAAGCAGTGGTGGAGCTTTGTGAGGTGATAACATCCATTGTGAATGGTCTGTCTGTCTGTTTGAAACATTCTCATTCTACTTGCATAATGGCAGGATGGTATACTAGAAGCATGTATTGGTGTCTTTGTAATGTGTGACACACATTTAAGAAGGAAAATATTCTCATTCTCAAATTAACTTTATTTTCCTTAATCCCACAGGTTAATAGTTTCCAATCTGAGAAATATAGTGCATGAATACTGAGTTGGCCTAACTAATTTCAGTGGGTGCACAACTGGCCCATAGGAAGGCACAGTTGGACTCAATTCTTCCTTGCTCTTTAATTGAATCATAGATTAGAGCCTGTTATTGTTAACAATTACTCAAAGATTTATGTATTGGCACTGGGTAGATTCCAGCCATTCAGTAGTTTTGGAGCTGTTCTGAAGTTCATCTGTATTTGTAAAAAGCAACAGAGCGTCCTGTGGCACCTTTAAGACTAACAGAAGTATTGGGAGCAATACTTCTGTTAGTCTTAAAGGTGCCACAGGACGCTCTATTGCTTTTTACAGATTCAGACTAACATGGCTACCCCTCTGATATCTGTATTTGTGAATATGAATGTTAAACATATTCTATCTGGACATCTAGAAGGCTAAGACATGTTACTCCTAAAATGCTGTCTCTCTTAAGGAGTAGAATGCCTATAGTTTTTTATTCTTCTGGAATTCTGTAGTGTTATTTCTGAGGTTTGTGGTTTCTGTTTTGACAAACAAGCACATTAGATGGAATAATTTCCTCTGCAAGATTTGTTTTCACTTTACTTGGTGTAAAACAAAATTTCTTCATATAACACTGCTTGTGATAATGTTCCACAGTTGGGGCCTGATCCTACAATTGCATTTGCATGGGCAGACCCCTGGGCTGGCTTCTGTGGAGTTTCAGTTATCATATCTGCCCTTAAATTCTACTGTTTGTTACACAGTTTTAAAGGCATTGGAATCTCATGATTCCACAGATCTCTTATCTATAGTATTAATATGCAAGCTTCGGGTGCAAGCCAAAAAGACTTGCTGAACGCCATAAATAGTATTGTTAAACTACTTTTAGTGGGATAACAAATGCCAGGTTTAAAATAGCGAGGGTGTTTTGTAGAAACTTCTTTACTCTGTTCCTAAGAGTATCTGAGATTCTTCAGATGGCATGAATTTTTAAAAACTAAATAAAATTGATGGGAGGAAAATGATAGTTCACCTTTTACTTGGTTTGGATAATGAAATGCTAGTCATTTTCTCTTCTGTTTATAATAAAGTTTAGTTAATTTCACTTACTGGGTCTTGTGTACTAGTTCAGAATAGCAATGTTTAAATTGCAGCCTCTGCAGAGGGAGTGCATAAGTCCAATAAAATGTTTTCAATTTTTTAAAAAAACTATGACTAATACTGGGTTGGCAAAATCTTTTTTTGACAGTATGCTCTTTGTGACAGGGAGTTTGTCTTCCAGTGTTTAGAAACTGCCTAGCATTCTGAAGCCATTAATGCAATCTAAGTAATTTTAACAGTATCTACATTCTGGGGCTAAAATTCCAGACAGTGTTTATTTAAGCTGCAATTTTAATGAAGTGCTATAATGAATTCTGGCTCTACGGTTCACCATGCACTCTAAATATTTTCTTGCAGGAAAACTCTGCAAGTATCAAGCAAGCAGCCATTCTAGACATGATTTGTAAGTTAAAAATACCTTTTCTTTATATTTTATCTGACATTATCAAATAACTTCTAATTCAGAGAATTGCCCTTCTGAGATATTGGTGTGTTAAAGAATGGTCTGACCCAGTATGCCCAATAGTCCATCTAGCCCAGGATCCTGTCTTCTGACAGTGGCCCATGCCAGATGGTTCAGAGGAAATGAACAGAACAGGCAACTTAGAAGGTGATTCATCCCTTGTTGTCCAGTCCTAGCTTCTGGCAGTCAGAGGTTTAGGGGACACCCAGATCATGGGGTTGCATCCCAGACATTCTTGGCTGATAGCCACTGATGGACCAATCCTTCATGAACTTATCTAATTCTTTTTTGAACCCAGTTACATTTTTTGGCCTTTCCAACATCCCCAGGCAATGAGTTCCACAGGTTGACTGTGCGTTGTGTGAAGTACTTCCTTATGTTTGTTTTAAAACTGCTGCCTATTAATTTCATTAGGTGACACCTGGTTATTGTGATATGTGAAGTGATAAATGACACATCTGTGTTCACTTTCTCCACTCTGTTCATGATTTTATAAACATCTGTCATATTATCTATCCTATCCTTAGTCATCTCTTTTTCTGAGCTGAACAGTTTCTGTTTTTAATCTTTCCTTGTACAGAAGTTATTCCATACCCGTAATCATTTTTGTTGCCCTTCTCTGTACCTTTTCCAATTCTAATATCTTTTTTGAGATGGAGTGACCTGACCTGCATGCAGTATTCAAGGTGTGGGTGTATCATGGATTTATATAGTGGCATTATGATTTTTTTTTCTATCCCTTTCCTAACGGTTCCTAACATTGTTAGCTTTTTTTGGAGTGTGGTGCACATTTAGCTGATGTTTTCAGATAACTGTCCATGGTGACTCCAAGGTCTGTCTTCTTGAGTGGTAACAGCTAATTTAGAGCCCATCATTTAGACTGCATGGTGTGGGATTATGTTTTCCAATGTGCGTTACTTTGCACTTATCAATACTGAATTTCATCTGCTATTTTGTTGCCCAGTCATCCAGTTTTGTGAGATCCCTTTGTAATTCTTTACAGTCTGCTTCAGACTTAACTATCTTACATAATTACAAAAAAAGATACAAAATATCTTACATAATAAAAAAACCCACCTTGCTGTTTACCCCTTTTTCTGCATCATATCTGAATATGTTGAACAGCACTATTCCTAGTACAGATCCCTGCGGGATCCTGTTATCTCTCTCCACTGAGGAAACTGACCATTTATTCCTACCCTTTCTTTTTGCCTTTTAACCAGTTACTGATCCATGAGAGGACCGTTCCTCTTATTCCATGACACTGTGCTTAAGAGCCTTTGGTGAAGCCTTGTCGAAGCTTTCTGAAAGTCCGAGCATACAACATCAACTGGATCACTTTGTCCATATGCTTGTTGGCACCCTCAAAGAATTGTAATATATTGGTGTGGCATGATTCCCCTTTACAAAAGCAATGTTAACGTCCCCAACATATCATGTTGATCTGCGTGTCTGATAATTCTGTTCTTTACTCTAGTTTCAAACACTTTTCCCGATATTGAAGTTAGGCCTGTAATTACCAGGATCGCATCTGGGTCCTGTTTTAAAAATTGGCATTACATTAGCTATCCACCAGTCATCTGGTACACAGGGTGATTTAAGTGATCGATTACAGTTAGTAGTTCTGCAAGTTCATGTTTGAGTTCTTTCAGAACTCTTGGGTGAATGCCATCTGGTCCCGGTGACTTATTACTATTTAATTTATCAACTTGTTCCCAAACCTCCTCTACGGACTATCTCAGACTGAGCTATCAATCAGATTT